GGATTCTCGTATCAAGAATGGCGCCTGGGGCCTTCTTTTTTATTGTTATTTTTGAATCAGTGAACAATTATCGATTTCATTACAGCGTTTCAATACATGTCCTTGTACTTGGCTCATACTCTCTGGTTACCCTTCCTGCCTGCCTTAGTTAGCCCTCTTCTGCCAGTACAATTTTCCTCTCATCTGGTCTCCCTATTGCTTTCCTGTTACACACACACACACACACACACACACACACACACACAAACACACACATATACACATAGAGTATTGTGTAAGAGTTTCCTCCAAGGTTAAAAGCTTCCATCTTGGAGGTAAATGCGTTAAGACACCAAATGGTCTAAGGGGAAGTAAAACACTATTCTGTGGGAAGCTTGTTCAGCCCAGGAAGGAAACAACTAAAAAGAGTCAAGAAGTCACTGAAAATGACTAGGTTCACCAAGCCCCTCCCTCCCCAAGCATGTATGAGCAGTGAAGACTGCTGAGAGACATTCTCAGGCCAGCTGAGCGCTGCCTGGAAGAAGCAGAGACGAGTGCAGCTACCCAGAAGGGGCACTGTCCAACTTGCTGAGCTGCCTGAAGGCTGGGCAGTAAGTTCCAGGCTCCCATCTGTAATGCGCTGTCCTTATCCTGGGGTGGACTTTGATGGTGCAGCTGTTCTTGAGTCATTGCTGCTTCTGCAACTAACCCCTCCCTCACACTTCTGTGAGTAACCGCAGTACAACTCATTGATTCACCAAATGGGGCTTTGGTGGTGTCCCTACTTTGGTCTACCCTTGGCTCCCTATCTGGGGTGAGCAGACATTTGTCACATCTCCCCAGGAATAGCATCACACAACACATATACACACACATGTGCATATACATACATACATACATACACACACACATACACATGTGCGCAATCATGCACATACACATATACACATGCATACACATACACATATACACATGTACACACATACACCCAAACATATATAAGCGCATGTACAGATACATATACATATGCACACACATATATAGATATACATGTAAATCCAGATTTACACTCACATGTCCACATGCATATATATACATACACATACATATATGCATATATACATCCACACATATACAGGCACATACGTACATATATACATACACAAATACACACATACACACAAATAAATACATATGTAAACTCACACATATACACATATAGATACATGTATACATATATATACATAAGCAGATACACACTTATACACACATATACATCCATGTAGACAAATGTACTCAGTTATATGCATACACATATATACCTATACACATGCGAACATAAAGATATATACACACACGTACATATACATATAAATATAATCACATACATGTATATTTAACTCTTGGTTCCTGTGGCCTATAAGAACAGCTCTTTCAGCACCTCCTCTCAGATGGCCTTAGTCACGACTCACTCTGTCACCATGAGTGAGGAATTCTTCAGTAAGTCTTGTTCTCTGATGCTGACAAGCGATTCAGCCCAGCTGTTGTGGTCTACCTTCCTCTGTTCAGAGAGGGGTAGGGATGGCGCCTCCTCCCTTGGTCTTCTGCAGGTTGTGTGTCATGTAACACAGAACTGTGGATTTCAGAGTGAGAGACAGAGTGTGAGCCTGTGTGGGTTAAGGAGGCAGACTCTAGTCTAGTGGTGCAGCTGGCACTGTATCTGGGGAGGCTAAATTCTATCATCCCGGCTCGCTTGTGGCAGAGGAAGGTTCCATGCTGTCAGAGACTGTTAATGCACTTGGTCCTCTTCCTCAAAGTTTGGACATGGAGTGTTGACTGCAAAGTGGCATCTGCAGAGAGAACTCTTGAAAAGGAACCAAAGTTTAAGATGGTCATAGAGTGGGCACACTGGGACTTTCTTAAGAGCAGGAAAAGATACCAGATCAGTACTTTTTTTTTTTTTTTTTCAAGACAAGATTTCTCTGTGTATCCTTGGCTGTCCTGGACTCACTATGTAAAGCAGGCTGGCCGTGAACTCACAGAGATCTATCTGCCTGTCTCTGCCTTCCTGAGTGCTGGGATTACAGATGTGCGCCACCATGCCCAACTCAGGTCAGTACTTTTTAAAATATTTATTTACTTTTAATTCTGTGTGTATGTGTTTGTTGTAATGTGGATGTGTGTGCAGTATCTTTGGAGTACAGAAGAGGTTTTCAGATCCCCTACAGCTGGAGCTACAGCCAGTGCTTTTAACCACTGAGCCATCATCACTCCAACCTCCCTCCCCCAGATCAATTCTTGATTTTTTTTTTTCTGGATTCTCTTCCTTCCCTTTTTTCTCCCTTTCTTCCTTTTGCTTTCTTCCTTCCAGCAAGTGAGAACATAGTTAAATGATAGCCAACCATCTGCAAGCCTGGAAGAAAGTCCTCACCAGGAGCCAAAGTCTGCAGGCACCTCTAGCGTTGACTTTCAGCTTATAGCATGGTGGGGGGGAAAATCAGCTTCTGTTGTTCAAGTCACCCACTCTGTGCCATTTTGCTACGGAACTCTGGGCTGATGAATGAGGGGACCCAGACTCCCTCTGTCTCAGTGTTGTGCTCTCTGCCAGGTGGCTTCCACACCCTGTCTGGGAGCTGGGACAAAGATGGTTTCTCTTCCTTCTGTCCCTCTCCCACTCCACCCCCCTACACCGTCATTCCTCCAGACTGAGGTTAGTTAGTGGTCTCGTCTGGAATGCGAATGGTTTATCAATTTGTGGCTGGAAATAAGAGCTCGGATACCCATCCTGCTTGGATGTGAGATGCACATTTCATGCAGGCTGCAGAGAGAATAAAGACTCCTTATCTTGGAAATTTTTAGTGAAGACTCCTTCTGATGGTGGACCCCAACGACATTGCTGATAAGTCCTTAAGTATTTGTTTTTCAAAGTTCAAAGATGGGTGCTTTACAATAAAGCAGCCTCATGTGCCGGAATGCCTATGAAGTCTGCCCTGAGGGGGTGGAAGGCGTGGATAGCAGGGCCAGAGAGATGATAAGCCTATCTGTATTTCATGTTTGTTTTTTTTTTCTCAGAAGATGAGTCTTTGAAGCTCTGGGTGTTTGAGATCAAGCAAACATCTGATTTTCTTTTTCTTTCTCCTTTCTTTTCTTTTAAGATTTATCTTTGTTTTGTGAGTATGAGCAAGCATATCCCACAGTGCACGGGTGAAGGTCAGAGGCCAACTTTCAGGAGTCAGGACTCCTCTTGCTACTTGTGGGGTTGTGCTGTGCTGCAGACAACCCTTTTAGGTGTCTTTCTCATCTCTGTCTTCCACCCTGATGTAGAAATTCTGGGATTGCACAAGTAGCTGTCACATATGGTCTTTTCATATGAGCTCTGGCTGTTAGGGCAGCATGTAAGTGCTTTTAATTGCTGGGTCGTTTATTAACCCTCTGTCTTTTACTCATTACTTTAAATATTTTATTTTTATTTGTGTGTGTGTGTGTGTGTGTGTCTGTCTGTCTGACATAGATACATATGTGAGTGCATTGCCTGTGGAAGTCAAAAGAATCAAATCCCCTGGGGCTGGAGTTAATCCTGATTGTGGATTCTGGCAATTGAAGTTGAGTCTTCTATGAGGGCAGTAGGTGCTCTTACCTGCTGAGCCATCTCTCCAGCCCTGTCCTTTTAAACACACTCCAAAGTAAGAGTAAGAATTCTCTCCCCTTTCTTCCTTCCTTCCTTCCTTCCTTCCTTCCTTCCTTCCTTCCTTCCTTCCTTCCTTCCTTCCTTCCTTCCTTCCT